GGTACTAAGCATAAACCATCGCCTTTATGACATTGAAGGATTGGAAGGGCACTATTTGTAGATTTTGCACAAGCTTGCCGTTTAATCATTTTGCTGATAAACTTTCTACATGATTCACAACTGTGAATACCAAATTTTCGAGCCTGTTTCACGAATCGATAAAATCGTACAGCACCACAAACGCCACATTTAATGGTGCCTGTTAAACCTAAGAAATTATATAAATAAAATAATTTATTTTTTTATTTCATATAATGATTATATAATTTTATTTATATCATAAAATAAACTTTTAAATTTGCATAGAAAAAAATATTATTTTAATTTTTTTATATTAAATATTTAATATTTAAATAATAAAAATTTTATATATTATATATTTAAATATTTAATAAAAAAATTATTACAATTTATTATAAAGATTATTACACATACCTAAGTTAGTGTTTCCAGTTGTAATGCTATTACTATTTGTTTTTGAAAAGGGACCTTCAGTTCCACTAACACATTTATTATCTAATTTTAATCTTGCTTTTCTTAAAATAACTTTTCCACCATTTAATTTCATTCCAGTCCATTCAGACTGTTCGTCTTCTGTATGATTACTATGTTCACTTCCACTTTCAGATAATGTACTTTCTGTGTCAAAATTATCAGAATTTCCCTCTGTATTTTTATTCCCATTATCAATATTAGTTTGATTTTTTACATTGTTATTTTCTTTTATTTTTACTTCAAAATTTGTCTGAACTTCTAAGTCAACTGTATCATTTTGAGTTCCTGATCTTGTTTGGATCCTGGAAGACTCTGAACTTGGAACATCAGAATCAGGAAGAACTTTTGTAGGAACAGAAATTGGTTTTTGGGCTTTAGAGATAGATAATTTTGCATTTTGAGCTTTTCTAGTTGTATTTGCTGTTCCACTTTGATTATTACTGCATTCATCAGATGAAGATTTTACTATTTTATTTTTAGACGATACATTTATTTTTTTAACACTTGTATTAATAGTTTTTGATACTTGTGCGTTTTGTATAGAAGGAGCTAATTTTTCAAGATTTTTTGCTGGTATAACAGTCTGGATATTGGAATTTACACGTTGAATTACTTTTTTGGCTTTATTTTTCACTTCTTTGTCCTTTAATTTTGTACAGAGTTTAGTAATATTTCCTTCTTTTAATTTTGGTTCCTGATTACAAAGTTTGTTTAATGTAAATTTAGCTTTCTTTACATGTGTACCAATTTCATTTTCACTATGCTCTGCTCCAGAAATTTCTTCTAATTCTTCAATAAATCTTTTATTTGGTTTAATAACTCTCGAAGAATGGGCACTTCGAACTGGCAAAATAAATTTTCTTACAGCATTTGGTTTATCTCCACATTGTGCTGTTATATTACGTACATTATTACTGTTAGATTTAGCCCTTTGCAATAATCTTTTTGCAGTACTATTACGTAGTTGTCTTGTTCGTTGATGCTGGTCTAAAATATTATTCACTGATTTTAATACTGGTGTTTTCATAAAATTGGAGAATTTTATATTTTTACAATTTCTGCGACTTTTAGGTCTATGAAATTTAGCAGTACGTTTGGAATTTAATGGTGTCATATCTTTTTTATCATCTTCTGCTGATTTGATATTTTTATCACATAATTTTTCTGTATCATTTTCAGTGTTCGATGGAGAATTTTTGACATCTGTAATATTTTGTTCATTCTGTTGTGGCATAGAATTATTAACAGCATCAGATGATAACTTAACAGTTGTATTTTCTGTGTCATGTTGTTGTGTTTTTATATAAGACACGGAAAGATTAGCCTCTTTAGTGCTAAAACCATGGAATGGTGGATGTTCCTATGAAAAAATATATTAAACTAAATTATTATTATAATATTTATTATAATTATTAAAATATATTAAAACTAAATTATATTAATATTATTTTCTTTTTGTTTATTAATATCTTATATTTTATTTAAATTATTAAATTAAATATTGAATGTTTACATCTTATATTTATGTTTATTTTTACTATATAAATATATTTTATTAGATAATTTCAATATGACGAAAGATATTTAATAATTTGAAGGCATTAAAAAGTTAAGTTAAAGTTTACATTTTATATGAAATAAGAAAAAGAAATTAATAATATAGTTAAAATATGTTTTTAGAATAAAAACAAGATCGAAATATAAATTTTTTATAAAATCATTGACATTTTCCACTATAGCGGTATATTAGTATGTATTATATACATCTGCCATTCTGAGTCTGTGATTCCCTTCTAATAGGTTAACTTTCATTATACAGCCAAATCTTGGACTTTTTCAGGCCACCGAATCGGCGCCGTATGCGTCCCTATGACGCTTATAAAATAAATACAATTGTTTGTAAGTCGGGAAAGAATTATATACTTTAACTAATTACGCGCCTTACTACAAGTAGTTCTAATGAAAGATAAACTACGAATTACCTTCTCGTTGTCACCAAATGTTTCGTTGAACAGGGAAAGTCCGTAGTAGATGTTCTCGGCGACGGTTACCGAATCACTTTGGGCTGTCTCGGGCTGACCGAGAACTTTGATCCGTTTCCTGGTAACCGTCTTCGGCGGCTTCCCGGGAAACTTGGACCTTCCCATGTTCACTTTTTTCAACGGCCAACCTCAACCTCACAACGAAATTCTGTTTCCATTTTACGCGATTTTGCCCAGTCGAGGCGCACCAACTGAACACCAACGAACACTTAACACACACGGAACTCACAAGCTTCGTTAAACATCGGTTAACGTCGGCTAAATTCGATGATAGCCGCGAAATACGCGCGTACTGTCAAACACAGAATCACTAGTAGTGTATATATAAGATGGGTACATGTGTTTTCAAATACAAATGCGCGTATTCATCTAGTGATTTTTACTTGAGCAAATCCAAGTTACGCGCGCTCAACCGCATTAACTCTTATTTTAATTTGTATAATTATAATTCTATATAAAATTCACATATTATATAAGATTAAATACTTGTGTAAATTATAATTAATATTTTTTTTATTTATAAATTATTAATATTTATAAATAATTAATAATTAATAAATAATTGATAATTATTCATAAAATGATAAAAAATCTAATGCATAAATTTTTTTATCTACAAACAAAAGATTTTAATCTTATATTCAATTAACGATGATAGCGATGATGTGATTGGTTTTGTATTGCATATTAAATACTGTCCAGTTTTGTCCACCATAATACATTTTATATACTAGGGAATATTAATTTCCATTTTGTAATACTAATTAATATAATTCCATTTTATAAACATTTAATTATTTTAAAAATATTATATTTTATTTATTTTTTTATAATTTTTTAATCTTAAATTTAATTTATTTTCAATTCTATATAAAAAAATTGAATTTTTAAATATTACTATAAATAAAAATTAAATAATTTTATTCGAATTACTATTATTCAATAATTTTTAATTTTAGAAAGAAAAAGATATATTTGAAAAGTTATTATTTATAGTAATATATTTTTATTGAAAAATAATAAAATTAGGAAATATTTTTATAAATTAAAATTTATAATATATTAAATAAGATCAATTAAAAATTATAAATGTATTTGTTTAATATGTTATGAATATTTTTCAAGCAATAAAATTATATTGTTTTATTTTATTTTACATTACTTCAGATAATAATTTTATAAAATAATATTTAAAAACGAGTTATTAATATTAAAAATTATCGAAAACATTACTAATATTTAAAAAAATTATGATACGCTACTTGAATTGATTGTACAAATTCTTTTCTATAATTAATTAATTAAAAAATTAATTTATTTAAAATTAAAAGTAAAATTTATACTATATTAAGAGGAATAGAGCAATATAAAGATGATTTAAAATAAAAATATGAAACAAATTTATTACTAATTAATTTTATCTTTGGATCGTTATATTTGATACATAACCAATCAATATTAATTAGTGATCATTTTTTTTACTTTAAACTGTTGAGTCATTATACAAAATGTAAAATTCGCTTTATTATATTATTATTATTATTATTCATTTTTATTATATTATTATTCACTTTATATCTATTAATAGGAATTATACAACATTTATTAAATTAAACAAATTTAAATAAAAAGACTTTTAAATACAATATTTTTAAATAAAAAATTAATCGAAGTGTTAAAAATAATTGAGGAAAGTGAAAAAATTAATTTTATCTCATCATTCATTGTTATTTTTTTTCACATTATTTTATCAAAATTAAAATCTTTTTTCGGATCGAGATTCTGCTACCTATTAATAATATAATATTAGGGATTTAATCAAATCAGTTCATTCATATTACGTAAAGACTAGGGTCGATAAATGAGGTATACATGAATTACAAATCCGGTATTTCATGTGCGCTGACCTGTGTTCCATATAAAAGGGCCTCCATCGATACAACCGTCAAGTACCACTTTTAGATCCATATTGTATTTTTCCTTTGTATCCTCGTTGTGTATAAAGCTCGTTCTGCACTTTGTTTATAAAACGTTCCCTACATTTTATTTCGATTTTTCTACATATGTACACAAATAATTAACGTCAACAATTTCTTTATTTGTGCCATTAAATAAAAGCAAAATAAAAGTTTTCTTTCTATTTCTCCGACGATCAAATCAAAAGATATTCGATTATCGATGCAATTGGCGTTATTCCCACACACTTTTTTCTTTGAATCCGGAAGAAGGGAAGACAATATTTTCTCTGATTAAGATTGAAATGGAAAAGATATGACAAAATCGATAACCATCTCTACTTTTATAGCAACACAAATTGAGACGTGTTATATAGAATTCAAATGTCGGCCACCAATATCATTTCATTCTATCGATTTTTCCGTATCAGAAATATTTATGTACGCATACGCGTATACATGTACTAATAAACTCTATATTTTTAATAAGGGATATCAATACCGTATTACGTTTCCCTCTTTTGTGCCGTTCCAACCAGGTCAGAAACTAAATTACGCCGCGTCACAGAGAAATATTCGGATGCAGCCGCTGTTCTTGATTATTTCAATTTATGTTTATGGCCAAAGCTAAAAGGGACGTTGAAAAATTATTTTATATTCAGTCAGTTTTTCATAACTCTTAATTAAGAAAAAAAAAAAATATATATATATACGTACGTTTTTATTCATTTTTAATTATAATACCGTTTAAAGGAAAAATGGGCGAATATAGTCGAATTATCATTGAAGTTAAATATAATTTCAAAAATTTTAAATAAATATGTTTATTCGTAGTAATTATTTGAATATTTTTATTTAATCTTGATAAATTATATAAACTCATCGAATTGTCTTATATCATAATTATCATATTGTAATTCATAATATTAAAATAAAAATAAATAAAAAATTAACAGATA